CTCGCCACCCTTCCGGTTTCCCCCTCTCCCACTCTGCTATCTCGACGACGGGGGACTTCTTTTGTTGCTGCATCTTATGGTGGATTCAAGGGCCGCCTCTCTCCTCTGACCTCGATTCACCAGAGCGCCCCCTCCTCACCACCAGAGCTACTCGGGATCCTTTTCAACCGATCACAACTGCTAACCTCAGAGCGCTCCGAGACTCTCAGACCAGTCACGGAATTAAAATTCTTGACATTGGTAATGCATTACAAAGAACACGATCTTACAGCGTACGGTGGACGATGGAGCGAAATTTACGCTCTCAACGTGATGAAATAACGGTTGTGACGTAAATTGTTTTACGCATCGGCATGTAAAAAAAAAAAGAAAACAGCAGTATGCTAATTGATTTTTGCAGAACGGAACGAAAGCTCACGCTTGGAAACAGTTGTCAACTCATCGCGTTTTCGACGGTGAACGCGCTGCGATAGCGGTCATGCGTACGGCAGACCAGGCAAATATGAAAGGAAGTGGATATTCTGCCGGCAGCCGGCACAATAACCCGAGGGGAAAAGTGCCGGCAGTTGTTCCCCATTGGGTCTCGTATAAAACGAATTGGGCACAAGGGTATTTGAAACTGTGCATTAGCGCAGTGGTAAGGTGTTTGGCTCGTGCGCAGCAGAACCCTGGTTCAAGCCCACCTAGAAGATTTTTTTTTTTTTTTTTTTTTTGAGGCATTAGGCGATATTTACGACACCTCTTTTTTTTAGAATGTTTAGAAAAAGAAGAAAACACGAATGTTGTTGACTAAACACTTTCTTTTTGGGGGTGAATGGAGAACAGCGGGGCTTGGGCCGCAGGCAAGCCGCCGCTAAGCGGTGTGTACTAGTGGGCCAAATGGGTCAATATATTTCTAATGAGCAGCCGCAGACTGTCGCCGCGAAGCGGCGTGAACGCGGGCGGGGGGCTGTGTTAACGAGCTCCCCACTGATACACGCGCCGTCCGCAAGTGCCGGTATTTTTTTTCCCGGGCTATTGTGCCGGCTGCCGGCAAAATAGTCTGACCCAATATAAAATGGTTAATAAACCTCATTTTTCTCACGGCGAAATATCGTGCAAGCATCGCAATGTGACAGAAATCGCAGTGCGTTATATTCGGCTCTCCCTTTATTTTACAACACAAACATTTGAAAGCGCTCTTATCAAACCTAAAAATTTCTTGAAGCAACCACAAAACCCGGTAAAAAAAGCGGCGAGCACTGCGAGCTGTTTCGTTGTCGGTTAGGCTTAGCGGATTCACCGCCGTGAGATGAACGATCTCGTGAAAGCACTGGGAATACTTCACACGTCGACTTTTCCCGTTACGGTCGCAAACGAATGTCGTCCCGTCCGTTGTAATTCTCGCACCGTCGAATGCACAAGCACTTTGTAGAACCACATACAAATCGCCGCCATGCCGTACCCCACACCACCCCAGACCACTGCCGGCCATCGTCAAAAAAAACCACGTGATCACCGTCCAAGTACCACGTGACGCCTGCGCCGCTTCGCACTCCGACGGCTACAGACGGAGTGCCAGGGAGCGCTCTGAGGGGGAGAGGCGTCCTCGGAATGAACCACCCGATCAGGCCACAGCACTCTCTTTCAACCACCCGATTTCGCGCAGAAAGAACCACCATTAGAGTGGGACAAGCCGGGATAAGCTAATTATCCGGGGTTCACAAGGGCAGCTGTAGCGGCGGCAGCGGCGGGATGGGCGGAGGAGGGGAGGAGGGCGATTTTGTATCTTCGTGGTCTCAAATAACGCGGGCGTATCTTTCCTTTCGTCGTATTTCCACTTCTCCGCTTCCATAACTTATGAATGTGGTAGGTCGGTTCAGTGGCTTAGAGCTCACTTTTTGAAAGGAACCTAATATCACACATTAGAGTTGGAGCAGCTGAGTGTAAACAATATATTGGTCATGAAAGCAAGAGTTGTGATTGCCGCTCAGTGTTTCTATAAAAGGTAGACTGAAAGGGTTTATCCTTTCAGTTTTTAAAACATTGTTGCCTTTAGCTCAGTCGCGTCGTCATTGTAAAACGTAATTTGTAAACTAGATTTCAGGATATATGTGGCGAGGACTTGCCTATTTCGTGATTTTTTGCCCTGTAATTAATTCCTAGGTTCAAGAGCACAGAAGGATTAAACTTTTAATAGTGCGACGCAAAGTTTTAGCATTAACGGGTGTTTTAGGCGACCTACCGAACTGATAACCTATAGATTCAAATATAATATATGCGACTGAGGCAAAAAAAAAATCGATGAGTCATATATGTTATTCTAGCTTTCTTTTACTCTTTCATCGGAATTAACGCGATTTAGTTTTGGACCTGAAAATAAAAGTGGACTCTACGATTGATAAAAAAAGCTATATAGATACTCGTTTCCGGAAAATATATTCTTAGTTTTGCGGTTCAAACCGGTTCGAACCGGTTCGAATCATTAATTTTTGCACCCCGGAACTGTACCGGCCTAGGAGAGGGCATGACGTCGGCCGCGTAGCCTCCACAAGCCATGCTTCCTTGACGCCTCGCCTCTATCTCATTTTTCTCCTTACTCTCCTCCCCTATCACACCAACGCGACCGTAGCTAGCCTTTGTCTAGCTATGGTGTACTAGAATACACCACAGCAGTGTGCTTTGATGGGCTAGTTGGTTCATGACTAGATGGAACAGCGCGGAACATAGGACAGAAAGAACTCCGTCATTGCACGCGTTGTCTACGTGCCACTGAACGGCACCAAGTGCAGTCCATTTCACTCAACCATTAAAAAAGTGAAACAAAACAAAGAGACGACGCGAACCACGCGATCACAAGCAGTACGACAACACGGCAATCAGAGCGGGAAGGAGCACGCCTGCAGCACGCCTGTTACCCGCAGCGCCCCCTGCCGTCCTTGCGCGCCGTCATCGCTGCGCCGACCTCCTCCCTCCGTTGCTTCTCGGCGTGGACGACACACTGCCCATTTCTAGTACACCATAGTCAAACTTTTCACAAGAAGTTTGAAAAAGTTGAACCTGGTCGAACTCGAACCTCGACCGGCTTGCGACATCCCTAATTGACCCCGTAAGTAAATACGTCACAACATGGCGTCTGGGTTCAAACCGGTTCAAACAAACCGTTGCTAGGGACGTTGCTATGGACTAATGCATGGAGACTCCTCATAAGGCTAGATTTTTGCTTACAAGTAAATAATTTTTTGTAAGAAACCTAACTTCTTCATATTTAATTATGAAGATGTTCTTGTCGTCTCAGTGTCGTATTGCAACGATGAAAGCCATTTCTGAAGTATTACACTACGCTTTGCTTTGGTAGCAGACGACGCGATAGATTTGCTGGCCTCTTTGCAGCGGGCGTCTTGCGACAAAAGCAAGTGCATCGCCACAGCCGTAAAAACCTCCGCAATGTGCGTTTTTTTTTTTTTTTTTTTGTGTGTGTGAGGGACTTAGCTTAGTTCAGAGGGGCGAAAATGCCGTAAAATCAAACCATGTCATGCAGATCAGTTACGACGACGACCTGAAGTGCATTACTGGCGTAGTGCAGGCCAGCATGAGAAACAAATCGTACGCCGTCGAGGTAAGTCGTTTATTATTGTTATTGAGGTTGTCAGGTTATTAAAGAATTGCATGTCTATCGCGATTTTGCAGTATTTTGCTTTTTTTCCCCTTCATACACATCTAATTCCGTGGATGTGCTCTTTTGGTGAAGATCTCCATCGAACCCATGATACAAATACAATGTGTAAAATGCATCGTAATTTTAATAATTGTAGAGGACCCATCTTTTAATTGTATTGTAGAAGACCCCTCTTGTAATCATTGATTTACGTTGAACCCGCGATGCTAGTTCGACGTAAAATGCGCTGTAGTTATAAGAACTTTAGATAACTTAGAAGACCCCTCTTTTAATTTTTTCATATCTATCGAATTAAGAAATAACATAAATATATTTAAAAAATTTAATTGGAATATAGCCATATCTCGCTGTCAAAAAATAGTGGCTTTCAAAAATCACGCTCGTGAAGCTCATTTTGCAAAAAAGGAAATTCTGGTGACAGGCACGTAAAGCTGAACTATGGGATTTTAGAAAAAACAAATGTTTTTCTTCAGGTTGAAATGACAAACCCCAGGACTGTGGCCGGGGCCACCTGCAACTGCCCTCGAGGTTCCCTTCGATGCCATAACATGGCAGCTCTCCTCCTCTTTGCTCACAAAAATATGTCCTGCACAGATCGAGCTTGCAGATGGATCATGAAAACGACTTCAAAGGACAGGCAGGTCGGACCAGTTGAGACTCTGATTCCGAGTCCATCTATTTCCGCTTCACTGAATCGGCCCGTTAGTGAGGAGGACAAAGACTGGATTAGGAATCGCCTGGGTGCTCTTGGGGCCACAGTTGGCTACACATGGCTATTGTACAGAGAGCCAGACATTCCCATTCATGTCACTATTGAGGACCTAATATTTAGTGATGAATACACCCAGGCGGCCGACCGAACCGTCTATCTGGTTGAGAAAGCCGCAAAGTAACGTGAAGAGATCCAGCAGCTGGCAGAGTCTACAACTGGACAACGCACTAATCCATTGTGGCAAGTGGAGAGGAAGCTACGCCTCACCGTGAGTGACTTTGGAAAAGTCCTCAGGGCGTGTGAGAACGACAGCTTTCCTCCTTCACTCTTTCATCATCTACTTGGTGAATACTCTCTGGAAGCTGTCCAGTGGGGCATCGGGAAGAGGAAGACGAAGCGCTTCGAACAGGTCAGTGTCTTTCTCGGCTCATCTGTTTGTACTTATTTATATTTATAATATCACCAGTTTAGACGATTCTTGCATCAGCGAACAATTAATAAGGCTTCCTCCGCTTGTCGGAGGGGTGGCTTTTGATCGGCTCGGGGTATAAACCCTGATTTGACTTCGCCATGGCTACCGCAACCCCTTCGCTAACGGCAAGTCAGAAGACCCCAACTGAGCGCTACAGCATGCCTCCTTCAACATGCGGATCCTCTATCGCCGAGCTAGAGAACGACGCCTCCGTCACTAACCTGGCAGAAGTTAGAGCGCCTGACCACGGACTCCACAAATCTCCACCCAACGCTGAAATGTTAACTAGCGACATGGAAATCGCCGACACCGACCAAGGTGAATGGTACGATGCCAAGACATCCAAGAAGCGCAAAAAGAACTCCAGTTCGAGCAAAAGCGGAGACACAGTTACGAACTCGCCTACCACGACAGTTGGCCTGACTGTAATTTTTGTACCAGCGGTTGAAAACCAGAAAATTACAGCGATCAGCAGTCTAAAACTGTCTGTTGCATTGGAACAGCTGTGTCCCGAATGCATCCACGAGATTAGGCCCAACAGCAGATTAAATCTGATCGCAGTGGACACTCGAAATGGTCAGAAGACCCGTGCGCTCCTTGCCTGTACTCAGATCTGCGGCTTGAAAGTTCGGGCGTACGAGCCCGTCCCGCGGCACTTCGCAGTAGGAGTGATCAAAGACGTGGACACTTCACTTTCTGATGCCGAAATTGAACAGCATATGAGATCACCAGAAGGCCGAGTGGCGAGAATTCGACGGCTTAGACAAAGTTCCATAGTAAAGATAGCGTTCAGCGAAACAACGTTGCCGAGTTTTGTTTATCTCGGTCACGTTCGCCATCCGGTGACCCCGTTCAAGGAACGCCCAATTCAGTGCCGCAGATGTTGTGGATATGGACATCGCGAAGCCAACTGCAAGCGCCCACCTATCTGCAGTCGCTGTGGAGAAGCCCACGACGGAAACGACACGTGTTCTGGTCAAGAAAAATGCGTGAACTGCAGTCAAGCTCACGCTGCCACGTCCTCTTCCTGCCCAAAATGGCAGAGAGAAAGTGAGACCCGCAGCTATGCACGCAAACACGCAGTTGACTTTCGCGCCGCAAGGTCAGCCGTCTCACAACAGAGGGAAACAAAACAAACGGCTGAAATTGAACAACGACCTCTACACTCACAGAACACAATAAATGAGAAATCTAACAAGCAGAACCCAAGCGCCCATGGCTATGCTGCAGCTTTAAAGAAGAATCCACAGAAGCTCATGAAGGGGGCCCCTCCCTCAAATGACCGCAAAACTCAAGTTTTAGAATCCAAGGGAGAAAAGGAAAGGCCGTCGACGTCAGCGGCTGCCACTCCTGATCCAATGCGGAAGACTACTCCCTCCTCTGACGCTCCGCCAATCAAAGGAAATGCATGGGAGAGCTGGATTCCACTTCTCAGGAAAGCAGTTCGCATGGCCTACAGCCTATTATCTTCTGTCGACGCCCAATGGGCACGAAACATCATATCATTGCTTAACATGATTCTTCCGCTTATGGGAGAATTATAAATGCGGGATGCACCAAGAAGCCGCATAAACGCGTCCGCAATTGGAAATTACTGAACATATTATCAACATGACCAGCGGTAATTCAGGAATAACCATATGGCAGTGGAACTGCCGCGGCTTCGCCGGCAAGAAGGCAGTCCTGCAACAACACATTAAGCACGCAGCGCGCAAACCAGACGTGATTTTACTCCAAGAAACGCTCACGGACGCTCCCACCCTAATGGGCTATAGGGAACACGTTTGCACGATAGAGGGAAGGGGATTATGCACGCTCGTCAGGAAGGGCCTTACGTTCGTCGACCACTAACTTTGCGGAGTTAAAGTAGAACATTCGTTTGTGGAACTCATACCGACCAAACGCAGGAAGCAGAGCATATTCGTTCTAAATGTGTACAGCAGCCCGTCCAATCGCCGCCAGAGGTTCCGGGCGCTGCTCCAGAAGGCACTCAAGACCGCCGGGTCCCAGACGCTGATCGCGGGGGGCGACTTCAACGCGGCAGAGGCCGCATGGGGTTATGGTTATAACACGGCCAAGGGGAGGAACCTCGCACAAGACACGCAGGAGCTAGACTTCGCGCTCATCACGGACCCGGCGCACCCGACGAGACTGGGCAACTCGGCCACCAGGGACACGACCCCGGATCTGACGTTCGTCAGAAACGCGGGGACAGCGAACGTTACGTGGAGCAACACGACGGTTGACCGGGGCAGGGACCACGCGATCATCGAGATACACGTCCCAACACCGGACAGAATGCAAGGCAGCAAGCGCACCTTTACGTGGACGGATTGGGAGGACTTCAGAAAGCAACGCGACCGACAACAACACGAAGCAGAAGAGATCACGGACATCGAAGCGTGGTCCCGCGAGTTAGTCGAGGACGCCAAAGCGTCGACCAAGACGATCGAGACCGACGTCGACACCGACAAGATGGACAGCCGCCTGGCGCACCTCATTGAGGCGAAGAATTCGATTCTGGCCAGATGGACGAAACAGAGACTCAACCGGAGACTCAGAAAAAAGGTTGCGGAGCTCAATCGCAGCATCGAGGAGCACTGCCGCACGCTCAACCGCCAGCAGTGGGATGAGATGTGCAACGCGGTGGACGGCCAACTACACAACGGCAAAGCGTGGAGCCTACTAAAGCATCTGCTGGACGCAACAGACACCAAGTCTCACCAGAGGGACCATCTCGCACGCCTGATACACAAGGAGATCGGGGAAAGCGGGAAAGATGTGGTGGCTGCCCGCCTGCGAGCGAAATACCTTCCGGAGACCCCGACCGCGCAGCACGGCCCGTACAAGGGCGAGCCCAATGAAGAATTAGACAGAGACTTCAACGTGGAAGAGATCAGAACAGCACTGCACGAACTCAACAGCAGGTCGGCACCGGGCCCCGACGGGGTGTCGAACCGCGCCCTAAAGAATCTCGATGACCGCTCAATGGAACAGCTGACAGACTACATCAACACCTGCTGGCGGCGAGGCAGCCTCCCGCGCCAGTGGAAGACCGCGAAGATGATCCTAATACCAAAACCCGGCAAACCACCGAGCCTCGACAACCTCCGCCCCATATCGCTGACATCGTGCGTCGGTAAAGTCATGGAGCACGCACTGCTCAACCGTTGGCAAGTGTACCTGGAACAAAAAGGGATCTACCCACCGTCCCTCATAGGCTTCCGCCAAAACCTCGGCACGCACGACGCCATGTTACAATTAAAACACCAAGTGCTGGATAACAAGACCAGGGGAACTAGGGCGATCCTCGGACTCGACCTAGAAAGCGCTTTCGACAAGGTCGTTCACTCGGCGATTCTGCGACAAATTTCACAACGAAACCTCGGCCTGCGCACTTACAACTATGTGAAAGACTTCCTGACGGACAGACGCGCCGTACTAGTGGCAAAAGATCTCCAGCTGGAAGAGCAAACGTTGGGCAGCGCCGGCACCCCGCAGGGCTCGGTCATCTCGCCCACACTTTTCAACCTGGTCATGATCGGGGTGGCAGAGAAGCTGCAAGACATCGAAGACGTCCGGCACACCATATACGCTGACGACATCACTCTCTGGGTGCACAGAGGCAGCGACGGTCATATCGAGTCGACGCTGCAGTCAGCAATTGACGCAATAGAGGCCCATCTTCAAGGCACGGGCCTGCGGTGCTCGCCCAAGAAGTCAGAACTCCTGCTCTACCGCCCCGCACAACGGGGCGAACTTAAAGCCCGAAAAAACTGTGAGGAAATCAGTCTACGCACGAGCGATGGCACGACCATCCCGACAGTCCCCAAAATCAGAGTCCTCGGCATGATAATCGAAGCCACGGGTCACAACGGCGGAATCATCACCAGACTAGTACACAAGACGTCCAACGCCACGAGACTCCTCAAGAGAATCACCAACAGAAGGAGCGGAATGAGGGAGGAGAACCTCACGCGACTCATCCACTCGTTCGTCATCTGCCATATCGCTTACGTTGCGGCCTTTCACAACTGGTACAGGAAAGAAGAAGACAAGATCAACGTCCTGATACGCAGGGTATACAAGATCGCCTTGGGCCTGCCGGAATCCACAAGCACAGACCGCCTGCTCCAGCTGGGCATCCACAACACGCTGAACGAAATCGCAGAGGCACAGCGCACCTCGCAACTGGAGAGGTTGTCCGGCACGAACGCTGGCCGCCGCATCCTCGAGAACCTCGGCATCAGATACCACACACAGCAGGGCCACAAAGTCACCATCCCAGTCGCGATCCGGGAGACAATAAGAGTCCATCCGATCCCCAGAAACGTTCACCCGGAGTACAACCGAGGCAGAAGAGAGGCCCGAGCCAAGGCTCTCCTCAATGCCCACAGCAACAATATGGGTACGCGATTCGTGGACGCCGCCGAGTACGAGAGAGGCTCCCGATTTGCCGTGGCGGTCGTCGATTCAGACGGGGAAACGAAGATATCAGCAAGCGTGACATGCGAACGCGCCGAAGAAGCGGAGGAAATAGCAGTCGCCCTCGCCCTTACGGACCCGGCGTCCAATACAGTCCTCTGTGACTCGAGACAAGTAATCAGGAACTTCGCCAAAGGACGGATATCGCCACGAGCAGCCCGAATCATAAGCCAACGCCAAGTCCACCTAGAACCAGAACCCCCAACCCGACTCCTGTGGTTCCCCGCACACGTGGGGGAAGTCTCCGAGGAGCATCATAACGGCAACGAGACGGCACACGCCAGGGCGCGCGAGCTAACAAACCGCACCGGCGACGGTCGTCCGTGGTACAGCAGCAAGGACCGTATGACGAGCTACAACGAAATCACCAAGACCTTCCGCCTGGCCCGACGGACACTCCCTCCGCCCAGCGACAAGCTGGACAGGGCACAGGCGGTCGCATTCAGACAACTGCAGACGCGCACGTACCCTAACCCGGCACAGTATCATAGAATGTTTCCCGAAATATACACGACGAACACGTGTAAGGTCTGCCGCAAAGAGGTAGCCACGTTAACCCACATGCTCTGGGACTGCACCAAAGACCCGCACGGTGCTAACTCCGGAACCCTCCCGCCGCGGCTGTCCGCTGCCCTGTGCAGCCCCAGCCTCGACGATCAACTCTGGGCCGTCCAGCAGGCCTGTGAGGCGGTGAAGCGGCAGGACTTCGACGCCCCTAGACGGGCGAAGAGGACCAGCGGCAACGCCCCCAAGCGGGTGACTTAGGCCCGGTCAGCGAAAGCTCTGCAGGCATTCAATAAAGTTTTTACCAACCAACCAAGTGGGGCATCATCCACGAACCAGATGCCATCAAGGCATTTAGTGAAGCCACCAACCTGACACCAATGCCAACAGGGCTCTGGCTGCACGTTCGGGCCTGTTAGGTGCATCACCAGATGGTCTTGTTGGAGACAAGGCTGTTCTTGAAGTGAAATGCCCATGGATCTTTCGTAAGGGGTCGTTGCTATGCCACTTGAAGGACACCATAAACTACAGCCTACGTTATGATGGCAGCAGCATGTTTGTGAACATGGGCCATGACCACTACCACCAACTCCAAGCTCAGATGTATTTTTCAAAGCGAACTAAGGGGTACCTCACGATCTGGAACCCAAAAGACAGTGTCGCTGTTGCCATTAAGAAGGATGCACTCTGGGCAGCTAATCTCGACATTCTGCGGAGCTTTTATCATGACATTTTTATTCCACACTTGTTCACATACTACCAATATGTACATCAAGATTAAAGTAATCGTGATTCTTGTCTCACGGTTACTTTAATCGTGATAGCTGACCAGCTTGCATGCACTTTGATGCTCATCTTACGTAGGTCACTCAACTCGAACACAAAGGCATTTACAGGTGCTGCTCTTCGTCATCACACATTCGGTCATTTGTTTACTACTTCTCATATTAGGAGCATTTTCGTGCCATGAATTGGTATGAAGCATATTTAGTAGTATTGCTATAGAGGGGAACTGTGCATGTGCTAGTGTATTTTCAGGTGCACATTCAGAATTCGGGCAGTCTAAACCTGTTATTGCATTTTCTCGCATTATTCTCGCATTTAAGCAAAAATATAAAAGCCATTGTTCATTTGTTTATGCCAACTATGTCAAGCGCTGTACAATTTGTTGTCTAATTATTTATACAAAAGAAAAGAAACTCAAGATGATCCAGTTCAATCTAACAAATCCTGTCTTTTCCACACGAGAGACACGGCTGCATGCATTTCACACTACTACACATCAAGAGACATCATTCGTTGAGTGAAGACAAAGGAAGAAATGCTCAGTCCAGCTGTTAACCATTACTGCAGCCACACATATATTTAGTTTTTGTTTCTGAAACATAACTTCACTATTTTCTTATACTGCGCGTCTTTCAAACAGGTACATCTCTGACCCGTCAAGCTTCCATTGTGAACTATTCAGTGTGCCTCGATAATCTCGCACTGTATTTGATACTTCGCTGTTTTTTTTTTCTACATAGATCTCTCCATCAGTGAGCTGAATGCAACTTTAAATAGGTAGGGACTGGAGCAAACAGTACTCACTGGCACATATTCATAGGAAATCATTTGAAAATTTGTATTGAAATATACCCCACAGGTACAAGGGCTTCCAGTTTCCCACTTAAATTCTCAAACATCTTTTAAAATAGCATGAACCCCCAAGCAACCTTTTCTGAAAGCAGAACCAGCATTATAATTAAGAGACTTCCAGATCTTGTTAGCTACTATGTAACCTAGTGAGAAAGTTTACATTCTAAGTCGCAATTGCATGGCTCAGTCATGTCTAAACTGCAGCCAAGAAACTTTTTTTTTGTAATTAGAAAATCCTTGTGCATTCAGTATTTGAGTAAGGAAATTGGAAGAAAGTATGGACGGCAACCGAAATTACACCAAGTTACCCGTGTCTCATTTATTGCAGAACATCCATGGCCTCTCGGAGTGTCTTTGAAATATAGTTTGATAATCAAACTTTCATCCAAGAAAAAAAGTGCACATCGCAACATGCAATGCGAGTGCACATAGCAACATGCCATGAGAGTTCGGTTGGCGGCCTGAATTATTTTCTTTGGTTCTTAAAGGGGTCCTGCAAAGACTTTTTTACTGGTTTTTAATTTGCACCGAACCTGAGCACACTGAACGTAGTAACTTAATGAAACTTTTCTTTTCTCGAATTTCGCTTTATTTTAAAAGTTATAGGCAGCGACGCCACCGGTCTTCAAACAACGCGGCACCGTTTCGCACGGGAGACAAGAGATGGCGCAACGAATGCCGTCAACGTATACCTTACGCCAACGAACGAGCATACTGCGCCGAGAGAAGGCGTCTTTAGCAGACGAACTTTTCGACTCGAAAACGGCGCGCGTTCCGCAGGCGGCGACAGTCGCAGAAACAGAAACAGGCGCGGTAACAACAAGGAACTGCAGTTTCTTGTCTGCTAAAGACGCCGGCTCTCGGCGTCCTATGCTCGTTCGTTGGCGGCAGTTGGCGTCGCGACTGCTTGCGCCATCTCTTGTCTCCCGTGCGAAACGGCGCCGTGTTGTTTGAAGACCGGTGGCTTCGCTGCGTTTCCATAGGAGCTAAGCCTTTTTCTTATTTTACTTTTTTCTCAGGTAAGTTCGCTCTTTGCAAATTTCACACACACAAAAAAAAATGCACCATCTGTGGGCAACGCTACACAGAGTCGTAGCGCGATAGGATTTTGCGGTCGATTTAAAGAGCCTAGCCCCTCCTTGTATCACCCTGTAGTATGCGCAGACTTTTCCACCGCTTGGTGGCGGGTATGTCGACGGGTCATTTCTTTTTTCCTTACTTTATAAACTGCATTTGTTTCTTTTCTGATCTAGAATACTGAACAAAAACTACTTTTATAAATAATTGAAACGGTTCGCGCCACTTATATTTTGTATTTCGACTAAAAAGAAGCTTTTAGCGACTCAGACCAGTAGTAAGCCCAGCACCAAAGGCGTTACATATCGCGCGCTTTCGGTATCGCGGGTCGCTCCCGTCGGTGGAGGAGGTTTCCGCGTCGTCCGGTTAAAATATGACGCACTGATATTTAGTTACTCTCTCCGTGCCCGCTGGCTTGCCCGAACCCCAAGAGACATGGAAACCGCAAAAAAGGTAGTCGCTTAAAGGGGCACTGACACATCAAAATCATAATTTTTTTTATTATCCGAAACGATTGAAAACGATGCCGGGACATTACCCTCGAAATTTTAAATTTGGGAATTCAGTATTTGTGAAGTAAAAAAACAATTTCCAAATGCCGAATTCGAAGTTCCCGCGCGATCGGCACCGGTGCCTTGACGTCAAAAATTGCGGAGACCTGAGAGTCGACTTCCTTTCACCACTCCCGGCTGTTGCCATGGCGACCCAAAGCGAGGAGGAAAGGAGCGAGCGCCCGCGTTGAGGCGGACCGGTTTTGAGCGGTGTCGCCTGTTTTCCGTTGGAGGATACAAATCCAGGAGACGGCACCACAACGAACTCCCGATTTTTGGTATTTCAAAAAGAAGGGCCGTAGTGCGTTCGCAATTGCGTTAAAAAACATGTTTTAGGATTGCCGTAATTAAATGTTATAGAGATGTCGCCTACAAAGCTTCTAAATTTCCTGATTTTTGACGTCACCGATCAAAAGAAGCGAGGAGGCGAGAGGCGGGAAAATCAAACGCCAAAAATAAAAAGGCGCGCGCGCGCGCGGGAAATTTTTTTTCGCGATGCGGTTTTTTTTGCGGGTCTATGACTGCAACTTGCATCGTTTTAGACAATAAAAATAAATACGACCTTTGGGGTGTCAGTGCGGTACCACGGCGGCCATCTTGAACAAAACATTAGTTGAACCACCAGGGTGGCGTTGGCTATGAGCAAATGCTGCAAAACCTGCGCGCCAATTTCGAAACCCTTTTTCCCGTCGCTTGCGACCTTGAGTTGCCTTCTCCACTCTTACGCCCCTCCTTTCACGTGTTCACCCTCCGGCGCGTCGCGCCCACGTTCATTGTTGGGAGGACAAAATTCTCCGGCTGCCAAGTGATTTGAGCGAGATGGGGTTTTGAAGCGGTATGGAAAAGTGGGACCGTCAATTTTGAACTATGCCTTTTCGATACTGCATAAGTTGTGTACGGGGCTGGCCAAGGCACGGGTGCGAGGACGTAACTGTATACAATGCTTGGGTTGCAGGAGCACTCGCGCGCAGAAATGGTAGGACGCGCTTTCTGAAATCACACGCCTACATTCCGCAGCGTTGCAATCCTACGAGTAAAACAGAGTACATCTTCGGACAGTGCGTGAGTTGATGCCGGCCGTACGAAAGACACACCTCGCGCTTCCTGTCACTACTGCCGCTGCTTGCACGCGCTGCCGATTGGCGGTCCTTTCTTTATTTTGTTTCGTCGCTCTTTTGAAAATACTGAAACTAAAATTTTCTCAGACCCTGCTCATCGTACCTCTGCACTACAGTTGTGTAAACACATTGTGATGTAATTTGAGATATGGGACGGAGTGTCTACATTCTTATTTCGTGTGTAATGCCGGCATAATATTCCTTTGCTGCCAGAGGGTCAAAATAATGGTAGGGTCCGCAGCAAAAACTATTTCAATGACCGAATTATGATCAAACACCAGTAAGAACATAAAAAAGAAATCACATGGGGAGAATAAAAATATTGCTAGAAGAGGATGGTGCGCGGGGCACAAACAATATTCGGAGTGACGTTGAGGGAACGCGACAAGCCAGATCTTTCCTGATGGCAGCCGTAAAAGTTGATCTGGTGCCTCGTTTTTATCGGCTTTGCACGGAAACTCGTCGACTACCGACTATCTTGTCAGTGGTGAAAATAGTGAACATGAACTGGATGACTTTTTTTGTTGTTTTTGTTTCTGTAGTTAAATGAGAGTATGAAAATATGAGACGTCCGCTGACGCTTGCGTCGGCTAACGGAACCTCAATCGCCGATCGCGGCCGATGTCATGGGCGTATACAAATACATCAAGTCGTCTGGGCGGGAGCAGTTGAAGCGCCGCACTTTTAGAGCGCAGCTCTTAGGGGCCCGTTTCCGGCTTGAGCGGCGTCGCCGTCGGCGTCGGCGTAACCGCGCGGTGCATCATGGGAAATGTCCCATAATGCACCGCGCGAGCCCCCCACCAAGGTCACGTGACCTCGTGGGGGGTCACGTGACCCCCCGAAGTCACGTGGCCCCCTCCTCGAGGTCACGTGACCCCCGCCGATGTCGCGTGACCCCCCGATGACGTCATCGTC